CGAGGAGGAGGAGGAGGAGGAGGAGGAGGAGGAGGAGGAGGAGGAGGGGGAGGAGGAGGGAGGAGGGAGGAGGAGGAGGAGGAGGAGGAGGAGGAGGAGGAGGAGGAGGAGGAGGAGGAGGAGGAGGAGGAGGAGGAGGAGGAGGAGGAGGAGGAGGAGGAGGGGGAGGGGAGGAGGAAGGAGGAGGAGGAAGAGGAGGAGGAGGAGGAGGGAGGAGGAGGGGCTGGCTCACTCAGGGCGGGACACACCGAGCCGGACTCGGCGATACACAGCCGATGGATCGGCGATAGGCGCCCGAGGACGAGACCGCACGTTCCTGGGCGGGGTGGGCTGTGGGGCCCCTCTGTCGGCGGCGAGGGGGCGATCAGGGGTCGAAGCGCCCCCCCCTCTCGACACGAAGAAGCAAGGAGGAGGAGGAGGAGGAGGAGGAGGAGGAGGAGGAGGAGGAGGAGGAGGAGGAGGAGGGGGAGGAGGGGGAGGAGGAGGAGGAGGACGAGGAGGGGGAGGGGGGAGGGGGAGGAGGAGGAGGGGGGGAGGGGGAGGAGCAGGAGGAGGAGGAGGAGGAGGAGGAGGAGGAGGAGGAGGAGGAGGAGGAGGAGGAGGAGGAGGACGAGGAGTGGGAGAAGGAGACGGAGGAGGGGAAGGGGGAGGAGGAGGAAAAGGAGAAGGACCCAGATCACTCCCCAGGCGTTGCCCCCTGGGATCGGACCCCCCCCGGGTCCTGGCACCTGCGCCGCAGGTCCTGCAGCTGGTGGTCCGAGGCCGCCAGCTGCTCCCCGAGGGCCTCTCTCGCGCGCTCTTTCGGGGAGGAGGCGCCCGCCCGCCCGCCCCTGGGGGGGGGGTTCGCGGGGGGGGCCCGACGATCTCTGCGCGGGGGTGCGGAGACAGCACCAGGGTGAGGTCGGGCATGTCCCCCTACAGGCGGATTTTGGACGAACAAACTAAAACATAGTCGACACATGATCGAACATGGTCAAAAATAGTAGAAACATCGTTTCCATATTATTATGTTTTAAACTATTTTTGAATATTCCGCCTGTAGAGGAAAATGCCCGACTTAACACCAGAGGGGGGGGGGCATCGCGAGCGGCGAACGTGTCCGTGGCCACGCCCTCGCTGTCTGGATTTCGGGGCGGGATGCCGCGGATGCAGTCGGCCCGTATCCTGAGGATGCGCGAGAAAGATGCAAGGGCGCGGTCAACGGAAGTGGCGAAGAATGGGCCGAGTTGGCAAGAATGCAAGGGTACCCTTAGGAAAGTTGCCCATCCTTGTTCTGTGGGCCGACTGTACGCGGTCACACGGATACGCTCCGCATGGGGCATCCCCGGTACAACGCGCCGTATCCGCACGGTCGCTGCCCAGGGGCACTGCACGCGAGGCCGCGGGTACGGGCATGTCTTTCGCCCACGAAATTACCCTCATATCCTGGCGTCACAACTTTTTCACGCCGGGCGTTTCCCCCCGGGCTCGTGCCCCGGGACCCTCACGCCCAGATCATCCATTACCGAACCTTTCTTGCAACGCTAAAGACGAACCAGTCGCGGCCGAAATTCGGCCTCTCGTCGCAAATTCCAGTAGCGAGCGAGCCGTCGACGTCTTCGACACCCTCGCTTGGACACCGACGCGCTGCTTACTACTTGCTGCCGAAATTCGACCCCCTCAGGTCGCGCCCGAAATCTGGCGCGACCGAACTCCGTTACCGAACATCTCTGGTCGCAGACGAACATCTCCGGTCGCAGATGATCTGGGACAGGCCGGTCCGGGCTCGAGAGTTGCCGCAGGAAGACGTCCTGGCGGCTCCGGCCGTGATGCTCCACGAGCCATACTCCCGACGTCATTTTTTGCCATGGCGTCGACCCTAGATGTCTCAACACATTTCATGGGACTGGTCTCCTATCCCGAATCGTTTTCTGACGGCCCCGAGGCTCGGTAGAAGGCCCCCAGAGGCCGACCATAGACTAGTTACAGAGAACTAGCACAGACTTAGCAACCCGGAGGCTCGCGCAGATTTCTTGGATCCAGCAGTAGGCCCCCCTCCCTGGCACGCGGAGCGCGCCAGGGGCACCCCCTGAGGCGCCGCCAGGGGGGTCCAGCGCCCACCCAAGAAATCGGCGCAGACCTCCGAATTATAATGTCCATGTCATGGCCCGAGGGGGGGGGGGGGGGCGGCGCTGGGATGCTGCAACCCTCTCGCCTCGCCGCATCTCCTGACGCCCTGCGGCCGCCGCGGCTGGCGACGGCGTGCGCGAGGCGGAGCTATCTTCGCCCGACGCCCGCGGGCACGCGGGCGTCGATCGCAGATGGTCCCGCCGCCCCCAACGGGAATCGCACTACCATAAACATGGAGGTATATAGAGCCCAGGAGTCTTCTGGCATAGAGCTTAAGAGATCCACGGCTCGTGCCGCCATGGATGCTTAGCTTGGTCTATCCGTGCCTGCCCCCCACCAGTGTGGGGCAAGCACAGATCGACGAAGAGGCAGCGCTACCGCTGCTCCGGGGACCTCTCCCCCGGGGTGCGCCCTGCAACCCCTGAACCAGTTTTTCATCCTGAGTCGGTTTTTTGAAGGGGCCCGAGGCCCGGTGAAGGACCCCAGAGGCCGAAAATTGAGAAAAAACCTCCCGTCGCAATCTCTTCATTACTCGAGGGGGTCTGGGCACCAAGCCTCGGGAGCATCAACAACGACTCAGGGTGCAAAGCCGGTCCCGGGAAATGGGTCAAGCCATGTATTTGGACGCCCGAAATGGGTACCGAGAAAAAAGGGTACGATGCCCAACAACAAATGTTGTCCCAAACCAACAGCGGCCGCTGTTGGGCAGGCGGCCTTCTGTCTCGAATGGACACAGGCCGCGGCGGCGTGGACAGCGGATCTGGTTCAAAATGAACAGGAACTGCTGTTGGGCATAATACCCATTCTTTCCGTGCCCATTTCGGGCGTCCAGAATGTAGCACTAGACTATAGCCCTATAGCCCCATAGCCCCATAGCCCAGTTGCCTAATAGCCCTATACCCTGTTAGTCCCATGGCCCTATAGCCCCACAGCCTTATATCCCTGTAGCCTTATAGTCCTATAGCTCTATAGCTCATTAGCCTTATTGTCCTATGGCCCTATAGGCGGACGTTGGCAGAACTTGGTTTAATGGAACCTGGTTTAGTGATTTGTACTGGGGGCGCCCCCCCGTCCCAGTTCCACTGACCGGAGCTGCCGTCACCCGAAAAACACCAGTTACGGCAAACCTGGTGTAGTGAATCTGGCCAATTGAGGGGCCCCAGGGCCCTACCACTAACCGGGTCCCCTCGGGGTCCTGGCTATACCCGATATAGCCTTATCGGCGGTGGACAAACCTCCCTTTAGTAAACCTCCCATTAATGAAAACGGCCTGGGACCGAAACCGACGGACCTGGACCCGCAAAGTAACGGCCGCGACGCCCTCTCGCGAACCGAAAACGGCCAATTCCTTGATCGACGTGCCAGGGTAGGAGGCCTGTCCACCCCCGACCTTATAGCCCAATAGCCCTGTAGCCCTTTCCTGTCCTGGCCGAGGCGGCCAGATCGGCGCCCCCGCGCGCGCGCCGCGTGCAGACACGACGACGCCGGCCCGCCGCCCCGAGGGCGCACGGCGGCGAGGCGGCCGAGGCCCCCGACGGCGGGGGGCGGGCGCGGCCGGGCCGGCGCAAGAGGGCAGGAGAGCGGGAGGAGGAGGAGGAGGAGGAGGAGGAGGAGGAGGAGGAGGAGGAGGAGGAGGAGGAGGAGGAGGAGGAGGGAGGAGGAGGAGGAGGAGGAGGAGGAGGAGGAGGAGGAGGAGGAGGAGGAGGAGGAGGAGGAGGAGGAGGAGGAGGAGGAGGAGGAGGACCCCGACCCCCTCGAGCAGCGACAAACATCACGACGGGAGGTGTGTCACCATCTTCGGCCCCTGGGGGCCCCCTGCCAGGCCTCAGGACCGTCAAACAACGACTCAAGACGAGAACCCAGTCCTGGGGAATAGGCCGAAACCTCTGGGGGTCGACGTCATGAACACATCATGGCGTTGGGGTTCTGGGGACGTCGTCGTCGCTGAGAGCAGCCCGAGCTCGCACCCGAAAGCCGCAGCCCGCCCGCGCTGGCGTCCGCTCAGCGCTCCGCCGGCTTGCGGGTGACGGCCACAATCAAGTCATCACGGGCTGCGATCGAGATCGTCCGCATGGTGGTCTCGACAACCACCAGAGGTGGCTGTGCCGCGCCTGGCTCCAGCTGCGCGCAATCCATGGCCATGTCGGCTAAGCGCGATGCCTGGGCGGGCACGAGGTCGCCCCGCTGGCCCACGGTGAATCCTCGGTGGTCGAGGCAGACGACGCCGCAGACGCCAGAGGACGACTCCCGCTCCAACAGGCCGTCCAGGACCGCGCCGACGGAAGCGGTCTTCTGCCCGCCGGGCGCCATGGCGGCGCAGAACGCGCCGCGGAGCGGCGGGGCGGCTTCTGCTGCGGGCGCTGACGCGCAATTGAGCCAATATGGCTACGGAAAATGGTTTGAGACCTTTGGGGTCGACGTTATGAGAAAAAACATAAACATGACGTCGTGGGTCTATGTCACCAGGCTCATTCAAATGCCCAGCCAACCTCTGCCGACGTCGCCATCCCGCCAAGCAGGCGCCAGAACACCCCTCGGGATGCCTTCTGACCAGGACTTCGAGGCGAATCCAGCCGTGGCGACGAGGGCCGCCCAGGGGGCCCCAGAAGGTGGAGAGGAGGGGAGGCGGCATCGGCTGGGCCTTGCCGAAGGCGGCACGCCCGATGCGCCCCCCGGGCCCCCGAAGCGCGCACCCGGGCATCCGAAGCATGACGGAGCTGAGTCGGCACTTGCGCGCGCGTGGGCGCGGCCATCCCGGACCCCCTCGAGGCATGGAAAAATCGCGACGGAGGGTGTTATATAGCTACTTTCGGCTTCTGGGAAGCCTGCCTCGCCAGGCCTCGGGGCCGTCATGCAGAGAACGACTCGGGATGAAACGACGGGCCCCCCCCGGGACTGGGTCGAAAGCTCTGAGGGTCGACGTCACGAAAAGGTCATGGCGTCGGGGCTCTGGGATCGGCGCGGGGCCACCGAGGCACCGCCGAGCCGCCGCGGCAGCTCCCCCGGATGGTCTCCGTGGGCGCGAGCGGGGCCCGTGAGGCCGGGCGGGGGGGCCAGCAGGCCGCAGCAAAGCCATGCCCGGAGATCCTGGCGCCGCAGTCCTTGGGCGTGGCGTAACGGGGGGGTCATACATGGGGGGGTCAGAAACGGTCCCCTTTCGTGCCCCTTTCGGGCCCCTCCGGAGCCCCAGGGGGCTCGTTTAGGTACCGTTTGGGTACCTTTTCGGACCATTCTCGCCACCCCCCATGTATGACCCCCCCATTACGCAACGCCCAAAGTCCCTCGCTCCTGTTCGAGCCGGGCGTTCTCGCCAGAATTCGGGCCCGGGGACTCGCTCGAAAGTGCTTCCGACACATGGGGTTCGGGGCTCTCTGGTCGTGATCTTCACGAGGATGCAAGTTCTTCGCGTCGTCGGATCTCAGTGTGGTTGATCCCCATGTGCAGCCGCATGAGGCCGGATTGAGCCCGATCAGGCCAGACAGGGTCAGAATGGCACCAATGAAATTCCTGTGGAGGTGTTCACCTTAATCTCCACGGAGTGGCAACATGAATGGGGGACAACGCTCTGCGATCGCTGGCTGCTGCTGGCGATGACTGCGATTGTCGAACGGGGCGATTCAGGGTCCAATCTGTCGAGGCGCGCATGACAGGAGAGGCACGGCACAGTCTGAGCAAAAAGTTCACGCGGCGCGTCCTGACGAAGCGTAGCCAGGGCAATCGCAAAGCAACGGAGTTGAGCCACGCAGGCAGATCTGATTTTACATCTTCCACAAGCGGTGCACCCACATGCTGCGAAACGTCAATGCCGACAGACCTGGAATGAAGCCATCGCTCGGCAAGGCTCTCATAACAACGACTCGTCTTCCAAGCGTTTTATATCAACTTGTACACAGAAGCGATATTATCATCGGACGCCTGATTGGCATGTTGCTGAGGAACGTCGCCAGTATGGTAATGACATCCTGACGTACGGCGTTGGAATCTCACTGCCTAAGACGTCTTTGCCAAGGAACATCGGCATCAACTGGAATAATTCCGACTCAAGGCGGCGACACTGTCCTTCGGATCCCGACTAACTTAGGGCAAACATTCGAGGGCTAGTCGATCAGGGAGGGACTCAACCACTTTGAAACCGACTCGAGGGGCCCTTGCGAATCCACGACGCACGCAGAGGCAGAAACAAACCATCACCGCTTCGCACCTACAGTCATCGTGCTGTCATAATCGGGGGCGCGAACACATGGATCAACGATCCATGGATTTGGCGCGCGGTCGCCAAATATATGCATCGGGTGAGGCGCTCTCCCCAGCATGCGGCCGGTGCCGCCTCGTTCGGCAGCGGAAATCCGCGACTTCCCAAAGAAATTGGGACCCGTCGCTAATCCACGCCCCCTGGATCCGTGCGTGCGATCGCCTGGCACGAGAGCGGCTGCGAGAAGGAACGGGGTGGCTCCTGTGGCTCAAGGCGAGCCGCGGCCACCGACGAGCCCCCCGACCTGGCTCGGAGGAGCGGCCCGGGAAGCAGCGCTCCTCCCGAGCCCAGGGCGGCCCGTCATGGCGCAAGCGACCCGACGGCAGTCTGCCCGCGGCCCGCCAGAGGGCCCCTGGAGGCCAAAGGCAGCGAGCGAAAGCCTCGGGACCCGAGCCGACGGCCTCATTAGAGCAAGAGAAAACACCGGCAGATGCATGCTCTTTGGGAGGTCCGCACAGAGTTCTTGAATCAGCGCTGACCCTCTCCCTGGCCCGCGGAAATGGCCAGTGGCGGCGCGGGCGGCGCCGCCAGGGGGTTCCAGCGCAGATCCAAGGAATCCTCGCGGAGATCTAGAAATTTATGTCTGCGCCGCTTTTTCTTTTTCGACTGATGGCGACCCGTTCTTCTTAATCAACATGAGCCTGGGGCCAAATCCGAGACCAACTCTTCATCCTGAGTCGTTCTCTGACAGCCCTGGGCCCTGGGAAGACCAAAGCGGCGAAAAACCTCAGGACCTGTTTCCCTCGTTGGGGAGCAAACGCTGACATAAACATAGAAACTCGGACGTTCGCGCGGATTCCTCGGATCGGCGCTGAGGCCGCCTGGCGGCGCCTCTAGCGCCGCCCCTGGGGCGCTCCGCGCGTCAGGGAAGGGGATCCAGCGCCGATCCGAGAAATCAGCGCGGACTCCCGAAAGTTGATGTTCATGTCATTGTTTGTCCCCCCTACCTTGGGATCCTGTTTTTTTCACCTGTGGGTCCGTGGTCCTCTTCATGTTTATTCATTGCTTGTTCCTGTCTGCTATGCCACCGTTTACTGTAGGATTAGGTCGGGCATGGCCTCCTACAGGCGGATTTTGGAGTAAAAATCAGAAGCAGTCAAAACATAATCAAACATGCTTACTCAAAATGAGTAGAAAAATCGCCCCCAACTTACTGTTTCCCTATCTTTGAACACTCCTCCTGCCCGACTGAGCCTCAGGCCCCGTTTCTGTCACGGCGGCCTCCTCCCTCCTCGACGGCTCCGACCCGCAGGGGGTACCCTCCGCAGGCCCCCCCCCCCCCGGGGGGGCGAGAGAGAGAGGTCCGTCCCACCATAGCCCCCCCGAGCTGCACGCCCGAGGCATCCGCGGGATGCCTCCGGTCCGGGGCCACTCCGGCTGCGGCCCCCGAGGCACGAGCCACCAGGAGCCTGCTTTTCTTCGGACCCAGGCAGGTGCACCTGCATGGCGTTCGCGCCCCCCCCCCCCTCCCCCCCTCCCTCGCCCCTCTGCAGTCGAACACGAGCGTGCAAGTGCCTTTCGGCTTGCGTGGCTTCCGCACGTCAAGTCGTGTGCGGCCTGCTTCAGGGTCAGCCGCCCCACCCCCCCCGTCCATGCACGTAGACTTGCCAGAGTCTAGGAGAGAACAGGCTCTACCCGGGATGCCTCCGGTCCGGGGCAGCTCCGATTTCGGCCCCGCGAGGCACGAGCCGGGAGCCAGGAGGTACCCCTGCCCACCCCCAGCCCCGATAATTCGGGAGGGGCTGCACGCCCGAGTGATCCAGGAGAGCTCCGGTCCGGGGCAACTCCATTTTTGTCGGTTCGGCCCCTTCGCACATCCCCCCCTCGCTCGCCGCCGACCCTGACCACTTACCACGGGCATGCCTGCTACAGGCGCGGAATCAGCACATGAGTGCAGCATTAGTGTTGGTTTTGCCCTCGTGCTTGTTTCACTATTTGGCTTATTCGACGATTGAAGTATTGGTTCTGCTGCGGCCCGATGGCTGCTCGAACTCCGCTTACTGGTGCGCTGGCCGTTGCCGTTCTTGCCGCACGTTTGATGCAGGCCGTCACTTTTCAGTGCTGCTTCTTTTGCCGCGGCGCTTCCTGCAGCCCCAATGATCCGGGGCCCTGGCCGAGGGTGCTGCGCCATCCTCGGAGCCTTCCATGCACGCGCCCGCTCCCCGAGGCAGCGGCCGCAGAAGGGCAACCAACGGGGGGCCCAGCGCGGATTCAAGAAATCCGTGCGGAGCGCCAAAAGTTTATGTGTATTCCGTTCATTGTTCTTCCAATATCAACGTGTGCTTGCTTGTCCAGCGAAGCCCTTCGGCGCGGCGCGGACGGTGCAATGAGAGCCGACGCAGGCTGCGTGCGATCAGTGGAGCTGAACGGGATAGAAACACATATTGGGCTAGTGAGCGTTTTCTTTTTTGGCGTTTCGACATTGAGCGAACAGGGGGGGATGGAGGGAGGTCTGGCTCTGGACCTCTGCTTGGTGCGACCGTTTGCAACAGTGTCCCATGGGGGAGGGGCTCCACCTGCTCGAAGCAGGCGCCCACAACAGCAAACATCCACTCCAGACGGGGGGGAGGGAGGGGGATGCGACGGCCCGCGCCCATCGGCAAAACAGTGAAGCAACAACGATCACCTGACACGCGCCCCGAGGACCATTGCTGGGGCATCGCGGCAGCCCCGAGCTCGCTCTGCGGCACGCTGCCTGGCCAGTGTGCCTCCGCCTCGCCGCCGAGCCCACTTGACTTGCGTGGCGGCGACGTGCCCCGAGGAGAGGGGTCCAAGAAGCCTCTCGCCGTTCTCGGGCCCCCTATGAGGGGCGACGATCGGGGGGGGACTGGCATGGGGGGGGATGCATCGAGCTGGAATCGGCGATACATCGCCGCTAGATCGGCGATAGGCCGCCAATCGTGAATCCGCATCTTCCGAGGCAGGGTGGGGCTATCGGGCCCCTATCGGCGATGAATGGGCGATTGGGGGTCGATGCATCCCCCCCTGTGCCTATTGCCCCCTGTTGTTGCCCCTGACCCCAGGGGTCCTCGCCACGGGCGTCAGGACCGTCAGAAAACGACTCAAGATGAAGAGCTGGTCCCGGGGAAGACCCCCACGACCGGGGCCCAATTCAGCGGGTAGGAAAAAAGGCGCAAGCAAAATCTTCCAGAGGTCCGAGCGGATTTCTGGGTCGGCATCGGACCCCTTCTGACGGCCCCTCGCGCGCTGCGAGCGTGAAGGAGGGGGGCCCAGCGCCGATCCCAGCACCCCGCGCGGACCTCCGAAAGTCTACGCTGCTGTCGTATGCTCTCCTTCGAGACGGCTCCTGCCGTGATGATCTCTGACTGGCAGCGGCCCGCCCCGAGGCCTCCTCGGCCGCCTTCGCCTCGGCGCACTGCCGCTGCGCGTGCTGGGGAGCGTGTTTTCTCTCGGGCGAGGCGAGGGGGGGCCGCCTGCCGCCGCCCCTGCACGCAAACCCCGCGGACCGCCCCGAGCGGACCCCGCCGGGCCTGGCCTGCACCGCGCCGTGGCGTCGGGTCGGGCCAGGCAACGGATCGGCTCGCGCCCGCGGCGGCGCGGAAAGCGATCGGGACCGGGGCCTCCTCCTGGGACCGCGGACGGGGCTCGCCCCCCCCGCGGGCCGCATGGGGCATCCGAACAAGAACACAGACATAACAACTCGGAGGCCCGCGCGGACTTCTTGGCTCCGCGCTGGAGACCCCCCTCCCGGGCGGCGCCGGAGGCGCCGCCAGGGGGCCCAGCGACGATCCGAGAAGTCCGCGCGGACCTCCGATTTAGGAAACCACGCCGATCCGAACCGAATGTATCAAACCTAAGCTACCATGTGCATCCCAAGGCAAAGCAAACATCCCCCCCCCCCCGCACACATGGCGAGCAATACGCACCTGCCCTTGTGCTGGCTAGGGAACTGCTTGCCTGCACCCCTCCGCGCAACGCAAAGCAAGTTTCGACTGCGCAGTGCCAGGCGTCGCCAGACCCTCCGATGTTTAAAGGGTAATGTTGATGCCGAGTCAACGGACTTCACATTTTGTCGTCGGCGTCGGCAGACCACGCCGCGCCCACCATTAGACATTGAAGTGGGGGCGCAGAGGGGGTTCGGCAGAACTTGCCATTAGTTTCGCAGAGGGACGTGTGTCAAAGGGGTGCTCCAACGCCGCCCCCGTCGCGCTCCGTGCGCTTCAGGGAGGGCGTTCCAGCGCCTACCCGAGAAGCCAGCGCGGACCAAACTTTCTCGCAGTGCCTTTTCGTCTTCGACTCTCGCCGAGATCACCGAGCATGGCGGCAACGGGTCCTGCACTCGTTTCGCCGTTTGGGGAGTCCAGGGGTGCTGCTCCACAGGCCCCGGGAATCTCCACGCATTCCTCGCCGCCGTCATTCTTTCATGCTGAGTCGCGTTTGAACGGTCCATGGTCGCGAAGCGGCCTCCAGATGCCGAAAACAACTAAAAACTGGCAATTGTCCTTCTTTCTGCGTCGCCGTCCCTGCGCAGCACGGCACCAGCTGGTGAACAAAAACACGAGGGGTGTTCTTGGCGTTCGCCCGTGGAGGCCCTAATTTGAATGAAAACGGTGTGTGCAATCTTATATAGAGGGAGCGGATTCCGGGATAAACTCAAATAAACTCTGGCTCAAGCTCGAGCCTGACTCAACGGCGGCGGGCATCGGACCTGGTCCCACTCGCTACAAAAGCCGTGTCACCTCCAGCGTGCCCGCGATCTCGTCCATCGCCAGGCGGGTGGTGTCGAGGTCATCTGGCGGTGGCTTCTGCTTCTCGGCGATGCTGTGCACCTCCTGCCGTGCGCGAGAGGCGAGCGGGGGGGATGCGGAGTCCGCGCACGCCTGCGGCGTATTGGTTGGGCGTTGCTCTGTGCGGGGTGGGGTGGGGGATAAGAAGGGGAAGGGGAGACACGTACACCTTTCGTGCCCCTTCTGGGTCCCAGGGAGCCCTGACAGAGTCCGAAAGGTGCACCTTTCTCCGCCCCCCTCCATGTGTCGCCCCCCCATCACAGTCAACCCGTGTCATAAGGATGCGCGGTAAGGGTGCAAGGGCCTGGGAGGGCCATGCGAACGTTTTTCGAACGAGGTTGGCCAGCGAGAGTTGCTAAGCATGGGCCGAAGGGGCAAGGATGCAAGGGTGCCCTGAGGAAGGTTGCCCATCCTTCCTAAGTGCGGGTCGGCAGTGCGCAACGCCCGACGTGGGTGCCGTCTTCCAGCTCCTGGGCCGTCAGCACCTGACCTCCTGGAGTGCGGGAGAACCGCCCTCCAGACTCCTCGGCCTATCCAGACTGCTTGATATCTCGACTGCAGATTGAGCTCAAAGGGTGCTGGTGTAGTTTGCCAGCCCTCCCTGGGAGGTCACAGGGCAGACCCTGAGATCTGACGACGCGGAAGAGTGAAAGCATCGTGGAGCATACGGCCAGAACCCCAGACCCCACATTTCCGGGCATTTTTCGAGCTGGACCCTGGCCATTGCTCGGACGTCCATTCCCTGTGCTTTTTTCGGTTTCGTGCGTGGTCTTTTCGCAGGATGATCCAGGATACTCCCTAATCATCCCCGCCGAGAAAAAGTGCGCACGTCCGAGCGATACCAAGGGACCGCGATCCGTGACGGTCCCGGGGCCCGAATTGTGCGAAAACGCCCCGCTCGAACAGCTTACGGCGCCGAAGTCTCGGGGAACCGCGCCGGATGAAAAGCCAGCTCCGGGGACGTTTCCAGAGAACTTCCCCCCTTCCCGTCCAGAGACCCCCCCCTTCCCGTCCAAAGACTAGCCCTTCCCGTCCACCCACGCCCCCCTTCGCATCCCAAACCCCCACTTTCCGTCCAAAGATCCCCCCCACTCCATTCAAAGACCCCCCCTTCCCGTCCAAGACCCCCCTTCCCGTCCCAACATTCCCGTCTAAAGATCCTCGCTGCCCGTTCGAAGACCCCCCCCTTCCCGTCCAAAGACCCGCTCCTTCACTTCCCGTCCAAAGACACCACCTGACCTTGCCGTCCTAAGACCTACCCCTTTTCCGTCCAAAGACCCCTCCTTTCCCGTCCAGAGAACCCCCCTTCCAGTCCAAAGATCCTCCCCTTCCAATCCAAAGATCCTATCCTTTCCGCCCAGAAAGTTCCCGTCCAACGACCCCCCCTTCCCGTCCAAAACCCCCCCCCATCCCTTCCCGTCCAAAGACGCCCCCTGCACTTCCGGTCCAAAAGCCCACGCTTCCCATCTAGAATCTAGACACCCACCGTTCCCGTTCAAAGATTCCTCCTCCTCGTCCAAAAAAAGCCCCCTTCCCGTGCAAAGACCCCCCCTTCCCGTCCAGAGACCCCCCCTGCACGTCCAGAGACGCCCCCTTTCCGTTGAAAGACCCCCCCCCCTGCCCTGCCGGCCCAAAGAACCTTCCCGTCCAAAGACATCCAAAGACCCCCCCCCCTTCCCCGCCGACGGCTCCCCCCGTCGAAAGCCCCCCCCAGGCGCCGATGGAAGCCGCCCGGAAGCGACCCAAGCGGCCGGCAAACGGGCTGTTGCCGCCGGCCCGGAGCTTCCGGGCGCCGCAGCCCCAGCCCAAGAGGCCCCGCTCAAGACCGCCCCAGCTTGGCCAACTCCGTGCACAGAGCTGGGCCCTTGGGCGCCAAGGGGGGCGTGGGCCCAAGAGGGCACCGAGGGCACGGCGACGAGCCCCGAGAGGCCCGGGAGGCCACCAAGAAGGCCCCAGGAGGCACACGGGCCTCGAGATGCATGGAGCTGGGCATCTGCGAGCGGCCGCCAGCTCAGTTGAGAGTGCATGTCCGCCAGCTTCCCCCACAAAGGGCCCCGAAGAAGAGCCCCAAGAGGGCCCAGGCGACCCTCCCAAGAGGGGTGGTCGATAGGAGTTCTAGCGCGGGGTGTCGGGGCAGAGTTCTAAGAGGAAGTGCTGGCCACAGGTGCGTGGACAGAGCGTGGCGGGGGGTGCTAGGGCAGACGGGACTGGTCGACAGGGGTGGTAGTGAGAGGTGTCGGGGCAGAGTAAGTGGTGGCGAGGGGTGCTTGGGGCCTATGATGGTCTCATGGGGGGGTCCTTGGGGAGGTGTTGGAGTCCGCGGTGGTCTCATGGAGGGGTCCTCGGGAGGGGTGTCAGGGGGCCCGTGGGGTCTCGTGGAGGGATTATTGGGAGGGGTGCTGGCCCCCGCGGTGCTCTCATGGAGGGATCCTTGGGAGGGGTGTCTGGGGCCCGTGGAGGTCTCATAGAAGAGGTCCTTGGGAGGGGCGTCTGGGGCCCGTGGGGGTCCTTGGTGTCCAGGGCCCGTGGGGGTCTCATAGGAGAGGTCCTCGGGAGGGGTGTTCGAGGGGGTGTCTGGGCGCGCGAGGGGCTGGGGGGTTCTGTGGAAAAGTCTCTGGGCGGGGGAAGGCGGAGGTGGCGGACGGGACGAAGGGTACAGGGGGGGATGTTTCGAGAGGTCTTTCAGACGAAGCCAGGACGAAGATAACATCGGGTGCGGATAAATCGAGAATCTCTGAGATCCGGCGGTTCTGGAGGAACAATCGGGCGCCGGGGCCTTCTGAGAGCGTTCTGGAACGCTCTGAGTGTTTCGGAGCGCTCATCCTCGTCCTAGCTCCGTTCGACTCTTCGGCGAGGTGAACGCAGATTTCCTTAAGTTAACTGTGGGCTGTGGGGGCGCCCCGGCACGAGCGCAACATGTCGGGAACCCCCAAAATGGCAGTTCGCCTGGGTGGGGGCTCCATCAATCTCCGAGGGGTGTGAGAAAGAGAGAGAGGGAGATAGAAAGAAACAGAGAGAGAGAGAGAGAAAGAAAAGAGAGAGAGAGAGAGAAAAAAAAACAAAGAGACCCTTCACGTCCCCCTCAGACTCATCCGTCGTTGTTTTTCATCCTTTCGTCGTCGTCGTCGTCGTAGAGCCCTGCCGTGTCTCTCCCAATCCAGGCTCGCCTCGAAGCTTTCTGTCGGTTGAATATGCTCCCCAGACCCCCGACGTCGTGATTTGTTCACCACGTCGTCCCCGAGAGGTGGTCTGGACCCCTCCCCGGGGACTGCTTTTTCTTCCTGAGTCGTTTTTGGAAGGTCCCGAGGCCCGGGAAGGGCCCCCGCAGGCTGAAAATAACGAAAAACCTCGCTTCGTGATTTTTTCACAGCGCGGGGAGGTCTGGCTCCCCAGCTGTCAGCGCCATCGGCAAAGGTCCCTCCTGCGTCCCTCCCGCCCCGCGAGCGCACTTACTGCCTTTCGCTTCAGGGGTGCACCTCGCGCGGCCGGCGGCGGTCTCTAGCCAGGAAGAGCTCACCCCAGATGTGCCAAGTCGCTCCCTGCGCAGATGCAGCAATGGTGTTAAGTCGGGTATGTCCTCCTACAGGCGGGTCATGGAAGAAATGCACGCAAGAGTCAGACTTGCTCAAAAATAATCCAAACATAATTGAACAATCGTCCCCTGACTATTCTTGGAGTGTGTTTGAATGCTCCTCCTGTAGAGGGACATGCCCGACTTAAGACTGATGGCTGGAAGCTCCCTTCAAAGCGTGCAGCTCGCTCTCCTGGTGAACCTCGCGCTGCCAGCGCTGATCACAACTCACCGACCTGGAGCTCACTCCGAGCGCGACGGCTCGCTCCCTCTGGCAGGGTGGGGCTGACAGCGAAGTGGGCGGAACATGACTGAAAGGGGCCCTGGGACACACAAAATAAACACACACGAATGACCGGATTCCCCATATGTTCCCATACGTTCTGAGCTTCTGCCTTCCCCCCCACTCCCCACATGTTCCCCATACTTTCTGGGGAATCGACGATTCATGGTGTCCGTGTGCTTGTTTCCCTCCTGCATGGCTCTCGAGCGTGCCGGCTCGCTTTCGGTGTACATATCGCGGTGCCAACACTCCACCGCCAGGACGCTCGCTCCCGGCGTGCCGGCTCGCTTCCGCGCGGCACACCGCATCGGGTTGCCAGCACCTGTTGGTCGGGAGCCCTGGGCAGTCCTCCCCCGCCTCCTCTTCGACGCTCCGCGCCGGGATTGAGGTTGAGGCACTGCCCCCGGAGATAGAGGAGTGAACATCACCTCTTACCTCTCTGTTTCCCTCTGTTCACAGCTGCTGGGCGGTGTTAAATTGAGAAAAAATCGTCATCCGTCAGCCGTCCTCCCTCCTGCTTCCATCCCCCGTCCCTCTTCCCCCCCCACTTCGCCCCTCCCTCTCTTGCGGTTCAGCGCGGGCTGCGCGAGGGAGAGGATCTGGAGGGAACCAGATGGGAGGAGCGAGAAGGAAGAGGAGGATGAGGATGAGAACGGGCGATGGAGGTTGAGAGTAGGAAGGGACAGAAAACGGCGACGGCAACGACGACAAGGAGCGACTGTGACGACGACGATGACGACGAGCGACCGTGACGACGACGGCGACGACGGCGACGACGACGACGACGAGCGACGAGTGACGAGCGACGAGTGACGAGCGACGACGACGACGACGACGGCGGCGGCTTTATCAAGACCTTTGTCTTTCGACCTGGAAGCGTCTTGGAGGCCTCTTGGGGCCATCGTGGGGCCTTCTTGGGGCCATCGTGGATGGCTCTCGGGTCCTCTTGGGGCTCTCTTGAGGGCTCGCTCCGGTCTCTCTTGGGGCCCTCGTGGAGGCCTTGGAACCCTCTTGGGGCTATCTTGGAAGCCGTCGACCAAGGGAATGGAAGTTCTCAAGTACGGGCGAAGAGGAGCCCAGCGTACAGGAAGAGTTCGTCCCACCCTACACCTCGACCCTCTAAATCGGGGGCGGCAGCGGATGCGGGCCGCACGAGAAAGCCAGCAAGGGCGCAATCCCCAGCCTCGGAGGCGCCGACGGCGCCGAGGATAAAGATGTCCAGGAGCGAGGGCAGGGCTGATGGGCTGTCATCCACCACCACCACCAGAAGTTGGTGGGGGGAGAGGAGGTGGAGGATTAGGCTGAGGGGGAGGAGGAGGAGGAGGAGAAGGAGGAGGAGGAGGAGGAGGAGGAGGAGGAGGAGGAGGAGGAGGAGGAGGAGGAGGAGGAGGAGGAGGAGGAGGAGGAGGAGGAGGAGGAGGAGGAGGGAGGACCCCCTCCCCCTCCTGCTTATGGTGGTGGCGGTGGAAAACAGGCCCATCCTCGAGGAGGACTCCAGACCAGCGGTGCGCACCCCCCTGCCCAGCCCCCGCCTGCCCAGCCCCCACCGCGCGTCACCTCCTCGCGCGGCGGCGCAAGGAGGCCCCCCCCCCTGGGCGGCCCGGCGCTCTCTGTTCGACCCAGCTGGGCAGCGCCCTCGCGTCGTGTGAGCAACCAGAACAAAAGACCCCTAACCTTGGGAGGGGACCTACGCAAAGAGGGCCACAAAAACATTCGGGATAGGGGTCTCATCTGCAGATGTGTCGAACCGAACCGTCCATACTTTGGATCCCTAAGTCAAAGACGGGGACCTCAGTGAGGCCACGTCTTCATCGTGTTATTAGGGTTCGGGGTTCTTCTGTTCTCGATGACCTTGGGCTCCTCGCTCCGCCCCACGGCCGCGAGGCGCCAGGCGGTCCTGCTGGATGCGCTCGAGCTTCTCCCGGAGCGCCTGGCCGCGATCGGGCCGCGCCCGGCCGCTCCGTTGCTGATCGCGCGCGCGCGCCGCGCGCCAGCGGCGCGAGCAGCGAACATCTCCGTAGCCGCGCCCGCGCGGTCTGGATTCCAAACTTACGATCCCACGGATACGCGGTCGCACGGATACGTTCCGAGCGGTGCAACCGCGAAAAGACGCCCCGTATCCGCAGGGTCGCAGCCCAGAGGCCCAGCCCGCGGGGCCGCGCATACGGATATGTTTTTGCCCGCGAGGATCGCTCGCGCGCGGCGCTCACGCTCATTGCGGGATTGAAGACTTCTGCCGTCCTTAGACTCGCGCTGGAGCGGCCGGCGATTTGCTCCGCGCTTCCCTGGACATCTTGTTGGACTTCCCTTGTCTCAATGTGGGCGCTCCCCACAATGAAAATGAGCACTTGTGCTGGGACTCACAGGTGGGGAAGGGAACCTGGCCGTAGAATCGCTGCTGCATCCTGGGCCTACTCAGGGCCTACTCTTGTCCTCTTCCGCGCAGGAGAGTCGCTGGGACGGCAGCAATCTCGTGAGACAGTAACACACATTGGCGTGGGTAATTATGCTCGCGGATTCTGCCTCTCCCTCCTGGTCCTCTCTTGGGTCCTCTTGCGGCGTTTGACCTTGAACGTCCGTGCTGGGGTCGCCGCCGCGTCGAGACGACACGAACCTGCCGTAGTCCTCACGCTCCATTCATGCACGCCCCCGACCCAGGCCGAGGCTGGCCAGCCTCCGGGTCCACGTCCTGCCGCGCCAAGCCCACGCGCTCCGCCTGCACCGCCTTCGACCAGGCCGTCAGCGCCGGCGCGGCGGGCCTGAGGCGGGGGGAGGCCAGGGGAGGAGGGATTTCTAGATTTCAAAATTGAATTAGACGGCAAACAATCCACCCCCGTAATAACCACCCCGACACGCGAAGCCGTTTACTAAACGCCCCCACTGAAGGAGTCGAACAGGGCAGGGCTGTTTAGTAAAAGCCCAAGGCCGTTTAGTAAACGCCAATTGTCCGGTCTGGGTGGTTTTCCCTCACTTGATGAATAGGCTGTGAGCTTGTCAGCAGAGGCCGGCACGCAACTCGCAGAGCACCAGTCAGACTAGAGACTCTGCGCGGGCACCAAGAAACTCTGAGAGCAGTGTCCATGTGTCCTTCCCACCCCCACGTCACTGCTCAAATCCAAGCAGCTGGGCAAGCATCGGGTCGTACACAGGATCGACTACCGTATCGGGGGCACTCGACCACGAGGGAGAGGGAGGGAGGCAGGGAGGATACCAAGAAAGAGGGAGCAGGACTGGGACACAGATCTAATACCCCCTACGTCGTGAGGAAGCGGCACTCAACTCGCCAAATGCAACCAGAGCGGGACCCCAAACTGTGCACAGCAGGCGCTGACTGACGAAAACAGGGTCAGAACATAGACATATCTATTTATGTATGCGTGATTGTATATGTATTTGTATATGTGTATATTTGCGTACGTTTATGTATATGTATATGTGTATGTGTATGTGTATGTATGTGTATATGTATATATGTATATGCATATGCATATGTAGATGTATATGCATATGTCTTTGTATATGCATATGTATATGTATATGTATATGTATATGTGAGTATGTATATATATGCATGCTGCGCATATCTACATACACATCCGTACGCATGCACATCTTATCATGTATACTTACACACATATATATATGTGCACAACCATATGCGTATGCTATAGTTATATAGGAGTACACGTACGTGTGTAAGCATGTATTTATACATCCATCCATCCATACATACATACATGCATACAAACATACATGCATGCGTACATACATACATACACACATACAAGCATACATACATACATACATACATACATACATACATACATACATACATACATACACATACACGCATACATACATACATACATACAAGCATACATACATACATACATACATACAAACATACATACATACATACATGCATACATACATACAAACATACATACATACATACATACATACATACATCTACATATATACATACATATACACACATACATACATACATACATACATACATACATACATACATACATACATACATACATACATACACCTATACATACATTACATTACGTTACATTGCATTACATTACATTGCATTACATCCCACTCCATTACACTACATTACAATACATTACATTACATTACATTGCATTGCATTGTATTGCATTACATTACATTCCATTACATACATACATACACACATACATACATCCGTTCATCCCTCCATCCAAACAGACAGGCAGACAGACAGACAGTAACACTTGTGGGTGTGTGTGTATATATATATATACACATATTGCCCGTTTCAACAAGCTCCTGCAATGAAGCCGACCTCGGGTCCGGACCGCGCGGGCCCAGGCCCGCAGACATGGCGGCCGTGACACTCCCGAAAAACATGGGCCCACAAAGGGCCAAGGCGGATCCGTGATTCGACTTGGCCTGGCGTGATTTCTGGGGTAACCAAGAGGTGCCGATACTGCTACTCCCCAGACCTCTCCCGGGGTGCGTCCTGGCTAGGATTTCGAGGCGAATCAAGCGGCGGCGGCGAGGGCCGCCCTGGAGGCCCAGAGAAAGGAGCACGAAGGAAGGGCAGCGGTATGGGTACCTGTCCCTCCTCTGACCATCGGCCATGTCATGGCCAAGGAGCCAGCCCGCAGGGCCTCCCTCGGGAGCCCCTGCGGCGGCCAAGACAACTGCTGGCCTGGGTTTGGGGGAGACCCGACCGCTCGTCGGCCGAGCGTGCTCGGTGCCCACGCCCTGTCGTCGGGGGCTCCTCCTCCTCCTCCTCCTCCTCCTCCTCCTCCTCCTCCTCCCTCCTCCTCCTCCTCCTCCTCCTCCTCCTCCTCCTCCTCCTCCTCCTCCTCCTCCTTCTCTCGTCGTCCTTCTCCTTGGACTCTCTTGCTCCTCGACCACCGATGCACCCGGGAGAGGAACAGAAACGCCCGCGGGAAGGCTGCGCTGAAAGGGCGGAGGCCGCGGCCGACCGCGGGCGGAGGCCGCGAGACCGTGCCCGCCCCCGCGGCGGCCGCCACTGCCCAGGGGCCTCTCGCCGAGGCCGCCACGGCAGAAGGAACAGTTCGGGGGGGGGCGAAGGCCGCGCGGCCCCGAGGAGCCCATGCTGGGGCAATTTTGTTGGGTGGAGCTCTCAAGCTTCGAGGAGGGGGTCGACCACAGAATCGACGTTTGCCCCATGCGTGATGATCCCGCCGTCGACCCGCAAAACATCCGCTGCACGTTTCGAAGATCCCGCGGGAATCTCAACTTGGGGTACATCACTTCTGCAGCCGATCACTTACTCGACAGTTCTCCACCGCCTCAAGCGGTCTGCGTCCAGGGCAGGAGCGCAGCCGAGCTGCAGGAGGGCGTGGCACTGACAGCTATAGTGGCTCCGCACAGGTGCCCGATGCTCTGGCGAGCAGGAGCACAGCACAGCCCCAAGCCAGCGAGGCCTTGACAACGCAGCTCAGCATCGACGCAGTGGCCGGGTCCGCGCATCGCGCCCCGCGGCGCTCTCGTCCGTGTCACGCTGACGTGCAGCCAAACGGATGGCTGCATGGATCCCCCCCCCGACAGGGCCGGCACCGTGAACGCTCGGGCCAGCTTCGGCAGACGAGGGGCCACGGAACCTGCCACCCAGACCCGCTGGAGTCATGGAGAAATCGCGGCGCGGGAGCTTGTCGCTATTGGTTGCCTCGCCTCTGGGGGCTCTTACCGGGCCTCGCCAACGAACCCGCCTCAGGGAATGAGTCGAGACCCCGGGGGTCGACGTTGTGAGCAAAATCGTGACGACGGGGATCTGGGCACAGCATCCGAGGGCAGGGCGACCTCCGCAGCATGCTAAGGCCTCGGGTTGCGCACAGACGACCCCCCCCCACCCACCCCAGGGCAATTGGCTCCGGCGCCTGGCCCCCACAGGCCCCCCGAGTAGTCTGGGGCGGCCTCAACGCACTGGCGCCGCCAGGGCCCCAGGCTTGAGACCGCCCCGGGCTACTCGGGGGTTCCGTTGAGGCCAGCGGGGGCTACCCGGGGGGGGCTGCCTGCGCGCAACCCGAAGCCTTACCATCCGCAGCGCCGGCCCAGGGAGAGACTCCGCTCCGCAGCGTGGGGACACACAGGGCCCCGGCACCCTGCGCTCTGGAGGCACTGGGCGAGCCTGTGCAGGGCAGGGGGCGGCCCTGCGCGCCTGGCTTGCGCCGCGGGGGAAGCCTGCACGGTCACGGGGATCTGCACGGACGATCCCGGCGCGCACACCTCGGCTCCGGCGCCGTCGCGCGCCAGGCCCGCCAGGCTCGCCGCTCCGCCGCCGCTGGCCGACGGCGTCAGCGTCCCCGCCACCGCCAGCGCTGCCGTCTTCGCTCCTGGAGGCTCCCGTCGACACGGCTGGGCACGGCTCGGAAAACTTGCCAGGCTGGCTCCTTGGGGGGTTCCTTCTGGCCAGTCGCCGTCGCCGTCGACGCCAGGCCCGGTTCTCCAGAATCCTTGGGGATCGAGGTGATTGGGTGTTTTGGCGCATGACTTGAGCCTCCTGGGATCCCCGTGGCCACAAGTCTAATAGGAACGCAGCCCTGGAGAGGTCCATGGGGCCATCTTAAGGAAGAGGACGAGGAGAGGAGGAAGCGGAGGAGGAGGAGGAGGAGGAGGAGGAGGAGGAGGAGGAGGAGGAAGACCCACACCGCCAACCAAGACGAAGCCAGGACGAGGACACATCAGGGCGAGGATCGATCGATAACCTCTGAGATCCCGCAGCTCTCGGAGGATGTACCGAGCGCCGCGACCTTCGCGGAGCGTCCTGGAACGCTCTGAGAGCGTTCCAGGACGCTCTGGAACGGATTTATCCTCGTCCTGCCCCCGTCCGACCAACGTGGTCAAACAAAAACCAGGCGTGGCTTCTCGCCCTGTTGCGAGCATGAGGCCGTGTTCGGCCTCCCTGGGCTGTGGCAACAGAAAACAAGCAGTCCAGAATGCAGAGCGGGCCCCGTGGAAAAGGCCAAGAGATCTGGGATCTGGGGCCTCCTGCATCGAGAAAGCGCGCCGCCCAGCGTCTGGGTACTCAGACTTCCCCCTGCCATTTGTCCTGCCACTGCCGCACGGGCGGGTTGGGACCCTTTTCCGGCAGCTGGGCCGCGGGAATTTCCAAACGGGCGGCGCGTATGCCCCGATTGGCCTCCAATCTGGGGAAAGAAAGAAATGCAGATACCGCTACTCCCCGGACCTCTCCTGGGGTGCGTTCTGACCAAAATCTCGAAGAGAATCCAACGGTGGTGACGAGGGCCTCCCTGGAGGCCCAGAAAGGGGAAAACGAGGAAAGGGTGGCGGCATGGATACCTTTCCCTTCTCTGACCATCGGCCATGCCATGGCTCAGGAGCCAGCCCGCAGGGCCTCCCTCTGGAGCCCTCTCGGCGGCCAAGACAGCTGCTGGCCTGGGTTTGGGGAGACCCGACCGCTCGGCGGCCGAGCGGGCTCGGTGCCCACGCCTTGTCGTCTGGCGCTCCTCCTCCTCCTCCTCCTCCGCCTCCTCCTCCTCCTCCTCCGGATCGTCGTCCTTCTCCTCCTCATCTTCCTCCTCCTCCTCCTTCTCCTCCTCCTCCTCCTCGAGTGGCAATGGTCGGGGGGGATGAAGCGTCGGCGACGTGCACCTAGTTTTCCCGCCCAGAGGCGCCTCGAGCGACCTGTGCGATCATCGCGGAATGGGCCGAGTACACTTGCTTTCGCGGCACCCCCTCCTCCTCCACCTCCTCCTCCTCGCTCCTCCTCCTCCTCCTCCTCCTCCTCCTCCTCCTCTTCCTTCTCCTCCTCTTTGTCCTTCCTCCTCGTCCCTCCTCATCCTCCTCCTCCTCGTCCTCCTCCTCCTCCTCCTCCTCCTCCGTCCTTCTTCGCCCACACTAATTTGTTGTTTTCGCTTCAATTCGCGAGCCCCAGGGTTCTCCGGATCAGCCTTTGATAGCCCCGGCCCCAGAGACGGCCCCTGGAGGCCAACCAGAAGCACGCCTGGATTGAACAAATCTGCGCGCCCGAAGTCTGGGACTGAGGGGGGCCCCTGGCGAGTTCCCCTCATGGACAGTTTCCCCCCCTTGCCCTTCTCCACCTCCATCTTCCTGCCCTCGCCTCCCCTGGCGTTGTCCAGAGAACCGCCCGAGAGCGGGACGGAGGAGGGGGAGGGAAAGGGGAGGAGACAGAGAAGGAGTCTGAAAAGGAGCATGTGGAGCCTCTCCATAAACATGTTCTCTTCGGCCTCGGCAATGCGATCACGAGCTCTGCGACGCAATCGTGAGGCCACTGATCTACTTGGCCCCTGTCTATAAACATCCGAGCCGCCTCTGAGTCGACGTGCTCGGGCTACACGACCCAAACCAAGTGGCCACTGGCGAATCTCGTGGTAATAGGCGGCCACACCCCACTCTGCAACACGGAGGGAGGGAAACAGGACGTGGAGGAGGAGGAGGAGGAGGAGGAGGACGACGACGAGGAGAAGGAGGACGAGGAGGAGGCGATGAGGAGACGGGGAGGGGAACAAACAGCAGGAACAGGAACACGTTGGATTACGAGGGGAGGAGAAAGGAGGAGGAGAAGGAAAGTGACTAGAAAGGATGAGAAAGAAGAGGAGGAGAAGGAGGAGGAGGAGGAAGAAAGGAAGGAAGGGCTGCTACTGTTGGCTTTACTCAGCCCGTCATGGTCGCGTAGGGCCTGCCAGCGGCTGAATTGAAGAGCTGGATGTCCAGATAGTTGACCTCCCGAAGCCATGCTGTTTCCCTTGCGGTGAAATACAACGAATCGTATGAGGCTGCGTTCTTCTTCGTCCTGATATGTGAGGCCAGATACGTGGGCCATCGAAGTGCTTCAAACATCTCGGCGCCCCTGATTGGCAAGTCCTCAACCCGAGCAACAACGTGGAAGTTGTCCAGCCTTTTTCGAGCTTGGTCCAGGTGCTCCTGAGTCAAATGACCAGCAGGTACGTGAAAGGCGTCCGCCAACAACCTGACTTGGAAATTGTCCAATGTCTTCCACGCGGCTGCTTTGTTGGATCCGGTCGGTTGACCCGTGTAGGACGGACTTGGCGCTTTCAGCTGCTGCCATAATTGACTCAGAACACCTTTGCCCGCACCACCGTAATTAGCCGCCTCGAAATTCAACGTCGAATGTATCAAGTCGATAGGCTCCCGCAGGAGGACGCCATAGTTGAAGCCCGCGCAACCCAAATCTGCCTGTTTGAGCTCCCTCTCGACTTGTCCGTATGTGTAGCCACCCGACTTGAAATAATGCGCGCGCCAGGGACATGTTGGGGGTGAGGCCCTCGGACCAGTGTCCATCACATCGTCATGCGCCGCCCAATTGCAGTTCAAGTTTGGTTGCACAACCGACTCACCAGCCACACCAGCCAGCCAGCACATGAACGACCCTGCAGCCTTGTGGATGTGAACCCACAAGATCGGCTTCCGACCCGCAAGGACATGCGCTTCACCGCTGCGGTTGACCAGGCTGGTCCCGTTAACGCTGGAGGCGTCGTCGACCCACTCGAACGGCAAGTCTGCCAGGTCGAGCGCAAGCCCCTCCCTCCCCCCCAATCCTGATGCCGACCAGTTCACGGCGGGCGGCGCAGCCCGGGTGACCGACGCGCGCCGCCGCGCCCGCGCCGACTCCGCCACTGGCAGCAGCAGCGTCAGCAGCCGCAGCGCTCGACGCAGCGTGGTCATGGCTGCGGGCGCCGATGGCTTCATTCTAGAGGCGGCCGAGGGGTCTGAGCCGGATGAGTCCCGAGAAGCTCGGTCAAGGCGAGGGGACAGGGACGAATCTGCTCGAATCGGTCCCCAGACCTCTCCTGGGGTGCATCTGGTGCAAGTTTTCACGACGGATCCGTTTTTGTCGACGGCCCTGGGCCTCGAAGACGCCCCCCAGAGATCGCGAAAGGTCAAAACCCTCTCGAACCCAACACCCTGGCCCTCTCCCCCCCGTGCTCCTGGTCGGAACTAGTGTTAGGTCGTGCATGTCGTCCGAAGATTCCTCCTGTAGAGGGGGGCATGCCCGACTTCAAACTGGTGCTGGGCCACCTCTGATGGGCAACTTTTCCACCACCACTACCATATGTAGGACGGAAGAGAAGAGAGGATCAAGAGGTCCTCCCACTCCTCCTCCTCCTCCTCCTCCTCCTCCTCCTCCTCCTCCTCCTCCTCCTCCTCCCCTCCATCTCCTACCTATGATAGTGATGGTGGAACATAGGCCCATCAACCTCAGACTCCCAGCCGAGCGGAGCCGGGGCCTCAAGCCGCTCCAAGCCCACTGGGCTGCCGCACGGGCTAACCTAAATGGGGCCCAGGGACACACACATAGATACCCACTAATCCGAGAACCCTCCACAATTTTTAATCTTTTCTTGGTTTTCGTCTTCCCCCCCCTCTTCCCTTGTCGTCCCATATTTTCCTGGGGTCGACGATCAATTCTTTCTGTGGTTTTTCCCTCCTGATCACCTCCCAACACCCCCGTGCGGACTGCAGTGGAAACCGGAACAACGACATCCCAGCAAACCCGCGAGGACTCAAGCACGTACGCAAGGGTGTCTGACTCTGCCGCTTGGGCAAAGTTCATCCCCGACCGTACTTCAAAAAACATGTTCGGACGCGTGCGCAGTCTTGCAGCCTGGCCTGTTCCTCGACCAGAGGAGAGGCTGGGGAGCGGGCGCGGCTCCTCTTGGGGTGCTCGCGGAGCTCAGGGTTTCACTGGGGGAGAAGGCATCGCCTGCGCACCGATGGCCCTCGCCGAGCAACAAAAAAACAAAAATGGCACGCCGCCGCGCGACGCCGAGGACACGGACCCGCTGGCCCCCGGGATCCCCCCCGGGACGCCCCTCGGGGTGCCCCTCCTGGCCGCGGCCCCGGCCGCGCCCCACGCGCGGCGGAGAGCCCGTGGCGACGAGGCCCCCTTTTGGCCCTGGGGGGGTGAGGAGGGAGGAGGAGGAGGAGGAGGAGGGAGGAGGGGGAGGAGGAGGAGGAGGAGGAGGAGGAGGAGGAGGAGGAGGAGGAGGAGGAGGACGGCGAGGCCCCCCTTGGGAACAACTTTCGCGGGCTGCCCCACCCCTGGGCCGCGGCCCCGCGGGGCCGCGTTACCATCCGCGGGCTCGCGCCCGGGACTCCAGACCGCGAGGCCGCGGCTGCTGCGGATATAGGTTCGCCGCTCGGGAGTCCCCCTGGCGTGCTGGACAGCGACGCCTGCCGTCCCATGCCGTGTTGTCATTTCTTGTTTGTTCCTTGGCACACGAGGAAAGGGCACCCTGGCATCCCACCCCCTCACGTTTTTTGCTGCCCCGCCTTTTCCCCCTCGCCCTTCTCCTCCTACACAATTTCACAATCTGAATACGACGCTCCTCTCTCCCTGGACCCCGTGCGGGAGATATCCCGCCCGCCTCCGCGTGTTTTTTACACAAGATTCGGCAGCGTTGGTTTCTTAAACGTCCCGTGTTTTTGCCAGGTGTCTAATTGCTAATTGTTGTCGATGTTTCGAAAGTACTGTTCCCGCTGCAGCGTGGGCTTGATTTTGGGATCGTCGTTGTGCTCCCGTCGTTCAGGATGCCGCTCTAGCCCCAGCGCGGGCCACTTTTCTGCATCCGAATCCTTTTTCATCGTTGTCGCCCTCCTCTTTTCCTCTCCCGCGCCTTCTACTGGTCCCCCTGATCCTTCCACTCCTTCCACTCCAGCTCCTGCTAATGCTATTCGTCCTTGTTTTTTTGCCTTCGTCCTCCTTCTTCTCCTCCTGCTCACGTTCATGCTCACCCGCCACCTCCTCCTCCTCCTCCTCCTCCTCCTCCTCCTCCTCCTCCTCCTCCTCCCCCTCCTCCAATGTACGCAGCTTCCCCTTTCCAATTGCGCATAACACGATTGGATTCGTGCGTGGAGTTCCAGGTCGGCTATGACACGAGTCCGCGAACAAAAAAACACCGTAATACGAAGGGATGGGAGGGAGGGATCTGATGTCAGACATGGCGCGACCGCACCTAGCTCGTCTTCCTCCTCCTCCTCCTCCTCCTCCTCCTCCTACTCCTCCTCCTCTTCCTCTTCCAACGGCACTGGGGCGCTGACTGCCTGTGAGTCCTCCTCCTCCTCCTCCTCCTCCTCCTCCTCCCTCCTCCTCCTCCTCCTCCTCCTCCTCCTCCTCCTCCTCCTCCTCCTCCTCCTCCTCCTCCTCCTCCTCCTCCTCCTCCTCCTCCTCCTCCTCCTCTCCTCCTCCTCCTCCTCCTCCTCCTCCTGCTCCCTCCTCCTCCTCCTCCCTCTTCCTCATCTCGCGCCTCCCACTCGCTCCTCCTCCTCCTCCTCCTCCTCCTCCTCCTCCTCCTCCTCCTCCTCCTCCTCCTCCTCTCGCTGCTCATCCGCTTCCTCCTCACCAGCACCCCACTTCCCTGCTGAGCCCCAGACTGGCTCGGCGGCGGTCGTCGTGGCGGAGCAAGCGGGAACGCCGGCGGCGCTGCAGCCGGCCCGCGTGGCGCCGCCGCCGGGCGGGATGCGTGCGGAGCAGGCTGGGGAGCAGCTCGGGCTGATGGGTACCTCGTCGAGGCCCAGCTTATATATGCCCGCTCCAACCGATGGCAGCCTTGGCCTGCTCATGGCAGCTGCTCCCTTCTTGCTCTCTGCCCGGCGGCAGTGGAATAATGCTTACCCTGCTACACAGATGCTGCGACGACTGGGAGCAAGCCTCTGAAAAAGATAATTCAGAACCTCCCAAGTGGACCCAGAATCCAGGCGTTTTGAATAACAGAAGCATGCGACTGTCGTCTTTGCCTCGCTTCGGGCCCTGGGGTTGATTCACGACGACGGACCTAGCGGGGAGCTCGGTCTCGAAGCTCAATCTCGTTCTCTTCGTGCTTACAGCCAGCCTTGTCTTGTGAATCGCCCAACGGTGCCGCTCGAGTGCACGTCCAGGGCTGCGATTCATCCGATGACCAAGGCGGGCCAAGCCAGGAGCGACAGCGGATCGACGGAAACGGTCAGCGGGATTGCCCCCAACAGCAAGAACCTTCAACATGCAGGCTCACAGTCGTCGTGCTGCCACGCGGATCACTAGAGAGTGAGGAAAATGGGCACTTCGAGCCAAGGAGCGCCTCGGCCACGAACACGTACCCCAGCCTAGATCTGAAGAATGGCCCGGAAACCATAGCCCCATCCTGATCGCAAAGCGGCCCTTACACTCTTCTCTACTCTGAGAGCCCATGCCTCTAGCTTGGAGGCTGGTGACTCGAAGACGAACAAACCTCATTAACAAAAATGCTCGACGGTGCGCGCGGATTTCTTGGATCTACGCTGGCCCCCCTCTATGACGCGCGGAGCGCGCCAGGGGCGGCGCCGCCATGGGGGGAGGCCAGCGCACATCCAAGAAAACCGAACTGACCGTCGAAAGTTTATGTTTATGCAAGTGCTTTTTCCTGTACTGACCCTCTGGGCGGATAGGGCGTGCGCAGCGACCCATCACCAGTCCCTCTCTTCCGCTCCTTTTCCAATCTCTCCGTGGGTCTCTCCGCTCCGTGTGCCACTGCTTCCTGGACCTCGTGCGCATCGTCGTTTTGCGACCTCGTCCTCGCACGAGCCCTCGCGGCCGTCTTCGCCATCGTCTCCTTCAGACGCTACAACAAGTTCGCGTCGTGACGACATACGCGTTGGTTCCTGTCACCGTCTCAATCGTTCAATCTTGAGCAACCGTGGCTTTCCGATGGCACAGCTCGTTCCATATCGGCAGACGGCGGTGTTCAACTTTGAACGCTTGCGCTGGGGTAGCCGCCGCGTCGTCAACACACGAACCTACCGTACCCAACGAAAACACCAAATCCACCGGGCAACGCAACACAAAGGAGATTTTGACAAGTAATGGCGCGTCAAGAAACATTAACCGATTACCCAGGATAATAAAGTACCCCCCCTTAAGTCGTTTGAGTTTGTATCGTCGGCCTAGACGAGTTTCAAATAGAAGCGGAGGGCGCGGAGGCCGAACTTCATTATCACGGGGAAAGTTCGCCATCGAGGTTACTTCCTTATGTTGAGATAACAACATCAAGCGAAGCGAACACGTTTTTTCAGGATGTCGTAAGCGAAACCAATGCCCTTCTGTCTCTTTGTAGTTATTTATGTATTTCTTTCTTTCTCTGTGTCTCTCTCTCTCTCTGTCTCTCTATCTCTTTCTCCTCCTCCTCCCTCTGGCGCCCTGAACTTGTTTATCGCTAGGGTTGATTATCCAAGGAAAACGAGGCACGTGAAATATCAATTTCCATTCAGCGCTTACACATTAAATCTAATACGTTTTAAACTTTGGATGTTTGCTGTCTCCTTCTCCTCTCTTCCTCTTGCTCTTTCTCCTCCTCCTCCTCCTCCTCTTCCTCCTCTACCTCCTCTTCTCTTTCTGTCTTTCTATTTATCTCTCTATCTTTCTTCTCCTCCCCCTCTGCCCCCCTGAACTTGTTCATCGCTGTGGTTGAATATCCGGGGAAAACGAGGCACATGAGGAATCTCTATAGAACCTCCGAGATTTGTCGAGGATGCCTCAAGCGAAACAAGCAATGATTTCAAGGAGGTCTCAAGCGAAATAAGCAATAATTCGAAGATGTCTCAAGCGAAACAGACAAATATTTCGAGGCTGTCTCAAGCGACACAAGCAATTCGTTGAGGATGTCTCAACCGAGACAAATCATTGTTGAGGATGTATCATAGAGGACCACAGACCAAGGATCCTCAAGATATCTTTGGCTTTTTCTTCTTGATATCTCTTTATGCTGGCTCTGGCGGGCAACTTTTATAATCTCCCCGAAAACCCCGGACTTTACTATCCCTGGGGGTTTATTCTCCGAGGTTCTCGGTTAGTCTCCATGAGCAACTAATCCGCCACCGTGCCGCTGGGCACGGAATGGGCGTATCCCCAAATCCTTTGCCCAATCCCCTGAGCTGCAACCCTCGATTCGAAAAGGGCTCCTGATGTGGCCTGAAAACGACGGATGGGGGCTCCGGGTCGGATAATCGAAGCGACGCTCAGCGAACTGGCCTGAAAACATGCGCGCCGACATTGCTTGCTTCGCTCACATTAGCCGAGAGTGGCTCCGCTTCGTGGCTTCCAACCAACGACTTCTCTCTAATTGGCGGAGCGCCGCTACCCTAATTGACCTCGTGCCAGGGGGTTGCGCTTGCCCCGCTATCATTACCAGAGCGTCGCTCCGCTAACCGGCCTCGAACCAAAAGGCAACGATTGCTCCGCTCCCATTAGCGGAGCGCCACGCCGCTAATTGGCGTCCAACCAGAAGATTACGATCGTCTCGCTCTTATTAGCGGGTCGCCGCTCCGCTTTGTCGCATCCAACCAGAAGATTACGATTGCTTCGCTCGTAGTAGCGGAGCGCCGCTCCGACACTTGGCATCAGACCAGAAAAGTACAACTACGCTCTCCCTCTAACAAAGAGCTGCTCCACTCGTTAACAGTAAACAAAAGAATGCAGTTGCCACTGCTGCAAAGTCTTCAAACTAAGGGCCCAAATCCCACATTGCCAAATCTCTCGGGGTTTGTCGCGGTTTGTCGGGGGCGCCCCGCAGCTTGTCGCGTGAATTGTTCGGATGACCCCAAGACGGATCAAGAGGCCCCCGAGAGGCCCCCAAAACGGTCCAAGAGGCCCCGAAACTGCCCCCAAGAGGCCCCCGAGAGCGCTCCGAAGAGACTCCAAAGCATCCCTGAGAGCTCTGACCCACGGCCCAGGGACGGTGGCGGGATGGTCAAAAGGCCATTTGAACATCGAAAGCGTACACATGCTGCGGGAGACAAGAACTTCCGCTTGGTCCCATGTGCAAATGCCAAGCCTTGGTTTATCACAACCCCGAGCGTGAATGAGCGATCCTGGTGAACACGACGTGGAAAGAGAAGCGCGGGCGCGACGAGAACACGAAAAAAACGCGTCCCAAACTCACCACTCCCTCCTCCGACAAACCGTTTCAACTCGGGTAATGAATGTTTAAGCCGCTGATGCGGTCAAGTCGGTTCGCCCCGGATACCTCCAACGTGATGGTTTCACGACGTGACCCCACAAATCCCAGATTGGCATGTTCGACTTGGGTACGGGATTTGTTTTGTAGCCTGCGCCGTCAGGATTATACGGGAGCAACAGTCATGTGGGTACCGAACAACTGCACCTCCATTGAAACAGCCAGCAAAACGGCAAGGCGAAGCACTTAAATTTGTACCGCGGGGCTGGCCAAGGCGAAGCACTTAAATTTGTACCGCTACACCGGCCAGCGATTTTGTCTTGGGTACGGAAAAATGGGCACGCTGCCCAAGAACAAATGTGGTACAAAACCGACCACGTCCGCTCTTGGGCAGGCGACCTTGTGCCTCAAACGGACAGCGTCCGCGGCGGCACCGACAGCGAGTCCCGTTCCAGGTGGGGGGCAGGAACTGCGCTTGGCCTTCGTCTCCACTCTCTCCGTACCCACTTCAACCCTCCAGACTGGAGCTCTCGAGGCCACCCCCCTTCGCCATCGCTCGGACGTCCATTCCCCGTGCGTTTTTCGGTCTCGTGCGTGCTTTTCTTGCGAAACCCTCCAAAATCCTCCTGGATGGTCCTCGTCGAAAAGACATGCACACGTCCGAGCGATGCCAAGCCCCCAGACCTTCTTTCAGCCGCGGGCCATCACCCCAGACCCTCGACATCCATGATTGGGGAAACAAAGGTACCGATACCGCTATTCCCCGGACCTCTCCCTGGGTGCGTTCTGACCAGGATTTCGAGGCGAATCCAGCGGTGGCGACGAGGGCCGTCCAGGAGGCCCCCAAAAGGGGTAAACGGGCGAAGGGTAGAGGTATGGGTACCTTTCCCTTCTCTGAATGATGGTTTCCGAGCGTCGACCCCCAGAGGTCTCGACCGATTCCCGAGACCAGCTCTTCATCCCGAGTTGCGTGTTTGGACAGCCCCGGGGCCCGGTCAGGGCCCCCGCGTGCTGAAAACAAGAGAAGAAGCACCTTCCCTCGTGACTTCTGTCATGACTCGAGAGGGCCTGGGACTGGGGGGCCCGAGGACGGCTCCCGGAAGCCTGGGCCTCGAGAGAGCCGGCGGTCGTGGCTTCTCCTCGCCGCGGCCCGGAGAGGTCTGCGGACCCGCCGCCGCTGCCCCTGCCGGAGCGGAATGGGGGGGCGGGGTGGCCCCGCGTGGCGCTCGGGTCGGGCAACAGATGGGATGCCTGGCAACGGGCACCCACACCCACAGCACAAAGGGGGCTGCCTCCACTGGGGAAGGAGGAGCTCAATCTCCTGCGCCGGTGGTCAGATTCGGCCACCTACTGGCCCCCTCGAGTGAAAAACCACGACGGGAGATCTTTCAATGTTCGGCGGGGGGCGTTACCGGGCCTCAGGACCATTTGAAAACGACTCAGGATCAAAAACCGGTCCCAGGGAAGAGGTCGAAGCCTCTGGGGTTCGACGTCATGCACAAACCATGACGTCGGGGGTCTGGGCGCGAAGCCCGAGCATAGTTCTGCCATCGCCGAGAAGATCGGGCCCGTATTGCCTCGGTCGGTGGAGGCAAA